AGGGCGTTGTCACGCTTGACAGTCGCTTGAGAACATTTCGTTTGTGCATTAGTCAGATCATCAGTCAAGGAGGCAACAAGAGTGGTAGCAACTGCAATTGTGGCTGCCATTCCAAGAGCGATAATTTTACCGGCGATCGGAATAAGCAATGCAGCAGCAAGCGCTGCCACGAGTGCTAGAAGCCATAATTCAGCGTTTCGTAATCGGCCTTTGATATTCTCCTGTTCGGCCTGTGCTTGTACCTGTTCCCGCATCGCCCGATTTGCAGCTTCCTTAGCTTCGCTTTCTTCTCGATCCGCTTCGTTCGCCTTGTTCTGCGCTTCATTCACGACTTTGTTTTGAGTTTCAACGGCTTTTCGCATTTCAAACTCCAACTGTTCTTCGCGACGAAGTGTTACCGTCATTTGATTGAGAGATGTGATGGCGGCATCAAGCTGAGCTTTCGCTTGAGCGACGACCTGCCCGAGTCTCGTGACATTCAGATTAATTGCGTCCAGTTCATTTCTTCTTTGCGTCAGTGCTGTTGCCAGTTGAGTTCTTCGTTCTTCAGCCTGGGTCAGTTGAGATCGTCTCGCTGTTAACTCTCTTGTAACTCGTTCGAGTTCATTTCGAAGTCGTTCCACTTCTCCGTTGGCGTGGGTAAGTGCTTCCCTATATGAATCATAAGCTTCATTTTTAAATACCTGTTTGTACGCATAGCTGGCTTTACCAGCAGAAACCCTAAGAAATACTGTGTGAAATACATGCGACGCCACTTTTCTCTTCGAAAAATTTACCACAAAAAAATATAATCCTTTTACGTGGGTGCGTAAAATCCTTTCGGTTCGCGAAAAGATAACAGCGTCATAAGCGTACTCGATCTAACAATCTCGAAGTATTCGTTTTCATGTACAGCGGTGGTGCAAACATGGCCGTCTTCGACGGTAAAATCATTTTTCTCTCTGAGAAATTGAAAGATATCGCTGAGTTTTGAAACGCTAAAAAGTTTTCACGTCGCGAAAAATTCTGAAATTTTCTATGAATGTACTACTGTTAGACATTTTCTGTCTTCAATTTAGTTTTTGTTTTTATCTGCGCAGCCATTCTACAATGGATGAATACTGGAGAAAGTTTTGATTTACATACTGTGCGTTCTGAAGTTCGTTCTGCGCTTGACGACATTGTAGTTCCAATTGATTTGTTTCTGTGATCAATTTTGCTAATTGATCTTGTAATGTTTTCAATTCAGTATTGACTGTTTCGAGAATTGCTTGCGATTTTTGAACTTCGACATCGGCATCTCTTTTTTCTTGTTCAGCCGCTTGCTTCTCCATGTTTTTCCGATTAATATATACGTTCAAGTCATTTCGCTTGTTCTCGCTCTAAATAAAAGTCGGACATTGACGATTTCTCCACTGTTATAATCCATTCAATGCTGCAGATTTTTGCAATATTCATCAAATAGTACTGTTTTGAATGATTAAAAAAATGGTTAATACTAATACGTCATTTCTATTTTTATGAATAAAAAGAAGCTTACTGTTTTTGTTAAACTAGATTAGACAATGTCTGTATAGGACGAAAGAATCTGTTGTTATACATACTTGTTTGACCATGTCTGTAATAATTTGGATTGATTGTTGTAAATATTTTATTTCAGCTTCGACTTGTTGGTTGTTTGTTTCTAATTCATATATTTGAGCATCTTGTTCATTCATCTCTGCTTGACATGCGGCCATGTTATTTTGAGTATTTTGTAATTGTTTGGTGATTTGTTCGACAACCTTCTCGGATTGATCCCGTTCTTGTATTAAATCGTGCTCTTGTGTCTCTAAGTGAAGGAGTTCATTACCAAGTGTTTCTATTTCTCTTCCAAGAGTAGTTCCTTCAGTTTGGATAATTTTTAGCGCTTGATTCAGTTCGTTTTGTCGTTCTATTAACAAACGTTTTTCGTTCTCTAATACAGTCATCTGTTGTACAATATCGGTCACTCGTACTTTTTCTTCTTCCAGTGCTTGCTGTTGTGTAGTTAGCGTCATTTGCCATTTGTCTTGTTCGAGAGTCAGCACATGTCTTTGTTGTCGCAAATCTTGAAGTTGTTCTTGAAGATGTGTTATTTCTTGTGTACGATTCGAAAGATCGTCCGTTACTTGTCGAAGATCATTCGTTTGTGTTTCTAGTTCTATACGAAATGTTTCAAGTTGTTTTTCTAAGGATTCACGTTCTTTTTCAGCCGTCGAAATTTGTTGATTTAAATCACATATTTCCGATTCAATCTTCTGTGCATCCATCACATCCAACCTTTCCAATTCACGTTGCTCTTTGTCATATTTCTCAATTTCTTGTCGAGCGATTTGTTCTTCATTTCCACTCAATTGACTCAATTCCAGTTCACGTAAATGACGCATATTTTCATCTTGCAAACGTCGTTGTTCGTCCTCAGTATTGAAATTTGTCGCCATGCTATAATGTGTTCGTCGGATCTTTGATGATAATCGTTATTGGTTGACTTTTTAATGAAAATTTACGATGAATGAAATATTTTATCGCGTTATGATTGGCAAGAGAAAACAAATTTCACCATCGACAGTCGAACGTATTGCGCGCTCGTTTTGCAACTCAGTAATAAATATGAAAAGAACAGAACCAAAAACAGAACACCTGTCAAAGATCAAATAAGAACAGAGAAAAGTTCGCTATTCTCTGAGTACGTCGCTATGGGGAGTCATGGCGGACGTATACGAAATTACCAATCTGACGCGTTATTGACCCATTGTGGCGCAATCTCTGTGCAAATATTTTGGAAGCCTTAAAGGGAAAAGGGAGATTGCACTGTAATGAATGTACTCGAAGAAGAGGAAAAAAACCTACTCCAAAGCATGACCCTCGAAACTCAAAAAACAAAAACAAACATCTATAGCGCACGTAGAAAGAGAGAAAGAAAAAAGAAAGAGAAAGAGGGAGAAGGAGAAGGAAAAAGAATGGTATTAGGCCTCTAGCATTCAGATAGAGATATACATATATCTCAGATATATGTAAATAATATTTCAATACCATATTTTTAATCATAAAAAGTTTTGGACCAAGATATTTTAAAACAATAATAAATTTTAACGATTGTAAATACCATAATTCAAGGTCAAATGCCAATAAAATTCTAATAAAATATAGATAAAGTCTCCACATATTCTATAGAAGATGAATGTTAGTTATTCGAATACCGTGCAACGGCGAATAAATTAGAGTTATTTCCAAAGCCATATCATAGTAAAAGACCCAAATAAAACAACACATAGCCTGATGTATAAAAAGGTTTTGACGAAATAGCTAATAAAAATGATCCTGATCTACGCCATCTTTCTTGCATTCGAGTACTATATTGATACACTGCCTTAGAAACACATAAAAAGGCAGTTAACAAATAGAAACATATGAAAATTTTCCCTTGACTTTAGTCTAGGGTCTTACAAAATGGTTGTCTGTGTCTGGGCACAAAATACGGAAAAATGGCTGCTAGATATTCGATGGATAAGCCAATCATAAACGAGAAGCATAAAAAATTTTGTTTTTAAACACGCGAGAGAAAATATTCAAAGAGATGATCTGAAGTATCTACTGATGCAGAGAGAAAAGAAGCTAAGCAAACCGTTTCTGTAGGCCGGGGATAGATGTCGCCAGATAGCAGTCAAGTGTGATAATACAAAAAAAGTCGTCTGCGGATAATAAAACTTACATAGTATAGATAATCTATCATAGTGAATCGATTAGAAATACTTCCAATCCACCTGGGATCTGCAGAGGGTGTCCAGAAAACATTGTAGCTTTATATTACATTCGACGCTTTTTCCGTGAGATCAGAGAAGTTGACAGCGTTTCTCAGCTATACTGGCTGCGAGACCTCTGAAGATCTTTGCAGGGTCTCGAGAAAACCTTTTAGATTTACATTAGATTACGAACCTTACACAACATAGCAGAGAAAAATTTACAACATATTTCAGATAGTCCCCGAGCGAACGCCGACCGAATGAAGGCGTGAGCGTTGTCTTGGATTCCAAAGCGATGAAAGGTAGTTCGCAGATATAAGTTCCTAAAGTCAAGGGACCGAGCGAGTGCAGACGAGTGTTCCCTTGTTGTATACTTGACGAATTTCTTCACATAACATTGTTGAAATAGTAACAATAGTAAATATTTCTGTCCAATGTAGTTGACCATTTGTCATCGAAGGGGAATCAAATTGATATAAGGTGTCGGATGCAATGCCACTTTTGAACGTCAACTAGCCAAAGTGACAAATAATCATATAAATGATTGGGATATTCATTGAAAAGCAATTGTATTTGCATACAATACGGGCAAACATGCCACGACCGAATTTTCCCCATATCAATTACAATTTGGCCGTCATCCAAATCTTCCACCTGATCCACCTATTGCTACATATGAATTCTCAAAACCAAATGATTATTTTCAATTTTTTAGACGAACATTGCCATTGTATCATCGTCGTGCAAATCCTCAATTTACCGTTGGTGATCGCGTGCTTAAACGAGTATCCACTTCAAAAACGAAATTCTTATCACTTTACTCCGATCTAATGATTATTATTAAAGCTCAACACCCTACATATTGAATAAAAAGATGGTCACAATAATATGGTTTATCAAGTTCATATTTCATAATTACGACCATGTTCTATTGATTAAATCGTTCATTTTTTATCATTTTTTGTTGTTGTTGTTTCGTTACTTTATTTTATTTTATTTTTTATTTGTTATTATTCACTCTATCAATGTTGTTTGTGACTATTATGCATGTTTTTTATTCTGTTGCCATTGATCCCTCTATCCATCTTGACTATGACGTCATCTATTTTATGTTATTAACGTCGTCATTATGCCTATTTGGCCATTGGTCACCTCCTTTTCTTGTCCAGTGTTGTTTCCCTTCACTTCGCCATTTATGATTTTTTTCTGTTTCGGTATTGATTATTTCTCACCTTTTCGTTATTTATTCTTATTTGGTGATATTTTCTCCTTGTGGTTATATTTCATTTAAAAGTTCCAAGTGATCTTGCTTGTGGTGGTTATATTTATTTCTGCGTTTCTTGTTATTTATTATCTATGGTCATCATTCATTTAAATCTTGCTGATTAATTCCTCGCACTGGTGAAATTCGTTCATCTATTCCTATTGATTTATTATTATCATTATATATTCAAGTTGACAGCGTTTCCCAGCTATACTGGCGCCGAGACCTCCGAAGATCTTTGCATGGTCTCCAGAAAACCTTCTAGATTCACATTAGATTACGAACATTACACAACATAGCCGAGAAAAATTTACAACATATTTCCGATACTCCCCGAGCGAACGCCGACCGAATGGAGGCGTGAGCGTTGTCTTCGATTCCAAAGTGATGAAAGGT